GGGAGAGTGCGGTGCTGATGACACCAAGGCCACGGGTTCGGATCCCATATAGGGATGACTGGTTAGCTCACTTGGGAGAGCGTGGTGCTGACAACACCAAGTAAAAGGTTGAGATCCACTTACCAGTCCTCTTTTGGGGAAAAAAATAAATTAATTAAAAAAAAAATAAAAGGAGATATTGGTTTAGAGCTGATCCACCCAACATGGCAGCCACTAGCCAAGGGGGGATAATTAAATCTAAATAAATTAAAACACAAATTCATTTCCTCAGTTGCTCCAGCCACGTTTCAGGTGTCACATGTGGCCGGTGGCTACTGTTTCGGATGGTACAGCTATAGAACATATCATCACAGAAAGTTCTAGTGGGCAGTGCTGGTTTAAAGGATGGAGAAAGGAGNTGAGGGTTGCGATCCGTTGCCGGACACAGAAAAAGACAAAAGACAAAAAAAAAAAAAAAGGAATTACAAATCTATATTTCTACTATGGAAAACAGAAACCTTACCCTATGGAAAAATGTTAAACAACTGGCTTAAAATTTACTGTAAAAGATTTTCACTTATACAACATTTTAGCTTCTGAGGCCTAAAGGATTTGCCCTTTGTTATTTCCATGTCTCATTTTTAATAAAGTAGTTTTTCATCTTTTGTTTGTTTGGACTCATGATGTGGGATGCATGAGATTCTTGGAGAGCAGGTGGATTTAAGGGGACGGAATCAGGCAGGCCGATGAGAAACGTCTTGGAGATTTCACATGACACGGGACTGACACTCTAAAGAGGAATTTCAGTCTGTTAAACCTTTATTTAATACTGGGAAAATATAGGAAACAAGGCCATAGAAAGTCAGGCTGGAAGCACATGGTAGGACAGGTAATAGAAACAGGATTTTGCAAAATATCGTACATTAACCATAGGGGAAAGATGGTGTAAGACTGGATTGTTTTCTTTTTCTTTTTTTTTCCTTTTTGTCTTTTTTACTGACCGGTAACGGGATCGCAACCCTCGGTGTCGCGTCTGTACTGGGGACCGGCAATGGGATCGCAACCCTTGGTGTTGCGCCTGCACTGCACTCAGCCAGTGAGCGGGAACTGGTCTCCACATGGGATCCGAACCCTCAGTGGGAGCGCCGCCGCACTCCCAAGCGGCGCACTCTCCAGTGCGCCACCAGGCCGGCCCAGACTGGATTGTTTTCTAAAAGGAGATCATGATGGCCGGCCCGTGGCTCACTTGGGAGAGTGTGGTGCTGATGACACCAAGGCCACGGGTTTGG